CCTATGTCCCTTCTTATTTATACATAAGCATGCATGTATGCATGCATAATAAAAATACCTATCTACAGAGTTCTAATAAAAATAAGATGTGCATTTCATTTCAGTGCTTTTATGCAATGCTTCCAGTAGCAAGAACATTGGAAATCAATTTCATAGAAAAAATAAAAATGATACCTCATATTAATCAATATTTTAATAATGACAAGATTCCAAAGACTATGTGCCAACTCAGGTATTTGACACATGGATGTGACTTCTAGCTATATATTTTTTTCACCCCATCCCAACTCGTGGGGAAAAAAGAATGTTATGCTAAATAATTCCTATAAAAACCTTCTTCTTCTCTTCCCTCCCTACATCCCACCCTTCCTTCTTTCCTTCCTTCCTTTGTTCCTTTATTTTCCATGTACTGCTTGTCTTTTTAAATTGTAATGACCATGTTGTGGTATTTATCAGTTCATTGATAAACACTTAAATTATTTTTCTGATAACTATGTCATTTAAAAGAACAACATTCACTTACTGTCTTGTGGGGAAGGGGAGGAATACTTTCATTTAATTAAACAAAAGTCAGTATAATATATGACCAAATATAAATGCAATAAAAGTACCATAAGTTCGTTTATATTATGTGGCATTTGATTTAACAATGTTAACATAGTCCACAAGCTAGAATAACTCTATTGCTGAAAGTAATACAAGAATAAACATGGAGAATGCCTGTCCCATACAATTGTGAAATAAATGTTTTTACTTGGCATTCAACTTACTTGCAGAAATAATGGTTTCAATCATAGTTCATTATCAAGTTTGTAGTAAGTTAGGGAATAAAATGTTGATTTGAAAGGAGCCGCATCTAAATTTATTTTTTCAAGATTAATGCATGCATAACATCAAGCATGCTTAAGTCTGTGGGAGGAAAAGTCCTAGAAAAGATGCATGGTGAAGTGAAATTTATATCATCAATCATTATTTCTTAACTTTGTAAAGGAGTCATTGCCTATTTGGACCATTTAGTTGCCAACAGGAGAAACAGTTTCGTTTCACTGTGTCCGGGAAAGTACTGTGGGAAGGTTTACGGCAGTAAGTGCCAGGCACTGAGATCATTCTCATATAATAAAAATAAATGAACGTAAATGAATATGGCAAGAAAAAAATATGGAGAATTTACATTACAGATGTTTCCAGTGCTGGATGATTTGTTAGTTTTTTCCTGCCTCCTTTAGTATCTCCTCCTTGCCTAATCTATAATTTTATATTTGCAATTAGCACTGCATTGTTTCTCTCAACTCTTGATATTGTCTTTTAGGGTGTAGAATAGTGGTTGTATTGTCTTTCCTTCCTTCAGTTACCGTAGCCCTAAACTGCTAGAACATGGACAAGTAGAACATTCAGATCCCTTAAATTTGAAAATAATTTTAATCAGTAGCAAAAGATATTCAGAGAAATGAATACTGTTGGTTTTGAGTGATGCCTTTTTTTTTTTTTTTTTTTAATCTATTTACCCAATGTTTAGAAATGGCAACTTCTTGTCTTACTGGTAATAGTGGATGGGTCCGAACTTACATGCATGTTGATGTACTGTTTTTCTGAACTGATAGAAATGCTGATGGCATGAATAAGAGAAGTATAAGGAAAGTTAAATGAATCTTTGAATAGTTTTCGTACAGCAGAGGTAGACAGAGGTTAGAGCAAACATTCTTCTGATTATACACATGAAGTAGTTCAGAGGTCAGTTGAACTAGGCCTCACCTAAAAAATGCTTCCTTCAGAATGTCTCCTGAGCTTTTATCAGGGGATGTGTTACTGTACCTCACATCCAACACCATTGAAATCTATATTCCAATACAAGTTAAGGCTTTTTAAATGTTCATTTCTACACGTGTTGAACAGTTGCGACAACTCAAAGATATGTCCCCACAAGCCACGCCCCCACCCACTCACACCCTCTGTAAAAGCACCTTTTTTCATAAATGAAAGTTCCATGTCTATGTATGTGAGGCTTTACATTTGCATAAAATCATTTCTCAAAAAGGAACAAACACATGAGAATGTTGTGGTTTGGGTATTTGCGTTTTGTTTTGTATTTGCTCAGACCTTTTGAGGATTTTCAGTCTCAATGAAACACTATTAAAACAAAGAATCTAGTAAAATATTTGTGCATGTACTGCTAAACCATTCTAGCAATTTTATTAAGCAATACCTTTATTATTTTTTGAATATTCTTAACAGACTGGAACAAAACAGTTTTTTTTTTTTTTTTATTCAAAACAAAATATGCATACTGTACGCATGTCGCAGGGTTAAGTATGATGCAGAGGTTAAAGTCTGTTTGAACACAAACAAATGCCTGGGGGAATTTCATAGCTATAAAGTTAAGAACTAAATTTTGTTCGCTAAGAGGACCTTTCATATGATTTTCCTTCATCTCCCAGCTACACAGCAAACCTATCTGAAGTGCACTTCCCAAGTGTAGTTAGAGAAGAGGAAGGAATGTAAAGTTTTGTTGTGTTGTGTTGTTTTTTTTTAATCACATTTTGTTTTTTTGGTTTTTTTTTTTTATTTAAAAACAGCCCTTATATAACTCTTCCTTCCACTGAATCTACTGTAAACTCATAAAAGCCTTTTAGAAAGCAAATTCATATACACTCAGCAGGTGAAATGTTCCCACGAAAAAATTAAATAAATAAGTAAACACAAACAGGGCAATCAAATCCCTCCTCTTTTCCTTGACAACCTAGAATATATTAGAGTGATAAAGTTTTTGCACTTTCATAAAAATGGTTGACCTATTTAGTTTAAAAAAAAGATTTCTTCCTTTGTGAAAATGCATAATTGCATATACTTTATACCTGAAATGATTATAAACAATATTGGGGAAATATTGGGATCATATTATATATATTTTGCATACTGCCGCTGTGTGACCACGTCTAGTAACTCTTCCACACCACAAAAGGAGTAAACGAAGTCCAGATTGTTTCCCCAGTCTCTTAGCTTCCATTACCACTACCAGGATTAGAACGTATATTATTGCAACAGAACTAAACTTCCAACGAAAGGCGGGCCCCCCTAAGTCTCCATGGGAAGGTCTTTCTAACTCTCAATATTCTGTTGCGAGGTGGCTGCTCCTGGTTCACCTGACCGGTAAGAAAAGACTGGACTTCTTGGAAATGGGAATTGGAGCAACACAGTTCAGTATAGTTTTTGTTGTTGTTGATACAACATAAAAAATATGTTAACTGTCTGGTTCCATCGATTATGGAAAGCACTTGTTATTTAGCTAAAAAGGAACCCCCCTCAGGCCCCCTTGATTCCGCTCAGCTGTGGGTCTGTGCAGCAGTGGTTCCGAAGCCCACCAGAGTGTGCACACCCATTCACTGTTATTACACAGACAGAAGCAAGCGGATGTTGTCTGCTTAAGGGGACGAGAAGAGGACAGGGGAAGGACGGGCTCGGAGGTGTCGGGCTCCATGGTAGAAGAGAGAGGGATTTTTTTTTTTTTTTTTAATTTTTGTTGTTTTCCTTTTTTTTGTCTTTTTAAAATATTTTATTATTTTTTTGTTGTTGATGTGTTTTGCTATACCATGAGGTCATAGCACTCATTCCTCTAATAGAAACTGACAGTACAGAGAGGACAAAACTAGCTGATGAACATACACAATGACTAGAAATATAGAGAGATAGACAGTGAAAAGACTTAGTTTACCTCTGAGAAACCATCCCAAAAATAAATCCTGTATTATTAACAAGTGCAAAAAATAAACAGAGAAATAAACCTAAATCAAATCAAAAGCAAATAAAACCTCCAAACATTAAAACACAGTGTATAAAATGGTGTGAGAAATTTTAAGTCACTTTACAGCCTTTTAGTCAATAAAAAGCTGTGTCTGTGTCCTTGTTTGGATTCAGGCCCATCTTTTTAAATTTTACCCTAAAGGCCTTGCACGAAGTCATGAAAGGGTACAAGCACCCAGTTTCTGTTACATTTGACAGCACTTTCTTATTTCATGGTGGGCCATTGGCTACTCTGATGACAGTCCATCCTTTGCTTAGTCCTCATTGGTGGAGCTCTCTTCCAATGTGCCCATGCCTCCGAAGCTCAGTCCTGTTGTGTTCTGTGCTGCTGAGGCTGTGAGGACTGTATGTAAGAGAATTAGTACGAGGACACACAGTTTGAGTCTGCTGTTACACAGTCTTGTTGCTGATGACACAGGGAGTGATGTCCTGTGACAGGAGTCACTGTTTTCTACTGTCCCTTTGGATAGGTTGTTTGATTGTTCTTCTCTCCTGACATCACAGCATTCTGGTTCATCATTGGTTAGAAAGGTTTCATAGAGCCCTGTAGGATAAAGAAATTGGAGGGTTAAAAGAAAATCAAAATATACAGGGAGGAGTTCACAGTATTAATAATAAAGTTGTTACTTTAAATTTTGGATCCAAAAATTTTATAAGCATTGATACATAGAGAGTGATTCAGATATATAGATATAGATATATGTAGATATATATGTATGATTTCACATGGTAAGCTGTTTACAGCAGAGCTTCCAGGCTAAGACAGACAGGGAAGAAGGAACTGACAATCTACTTCTGAAAATACTGACTGGTAAAAAACTTAGAAATAACAGTAAAGCATTGTCAGGTATAGCGCTGGAAAATGAGCCCATTGGGTTGGAAGGTGCTCAAAATACCATTGAGGAAGACCTTCCTTCTCAAAGTAGAGTCGACCTTAATAACATGGATGAAGCAAGAATGTCTGGACCTTCATTTGCTGATGGGGCACAACTTCAAAATGAGAAGAAATGGCTACAAACATCCAATATTAATCAGAACATGGGATGTATGAAGTATGACTCTAGAAAAATTGGCAATTGTCAAAAATGAAATAAAAACCATCAAGATAGTCTAGACATCAGTAAGCTGAAATGACTGGTATTGGTCATTTTGAATTGAATAATCATATAGTCCACTATGCTAAGAATGACAATTAGAAAAGGACTGGCATCACATTCATCATCAGTCAAAAAGAATATATCAATATTTGCTCTGAAGTACAACACTCTCAGTGACAGGATAATATCCATGTGTCTACAAAGAAGACTACTTAACATGACTTTCACTCAAATGCACACACCAAACACTGATGTCATATATGAAAAATTGAAAATTTTTACCAACTTCTGCAGGCAGAAATTGATGAAATATGTCATCAAAGATGCAATTGTAATCACTAGTCATTGAAATGACAAAGTTGGAAACGAAGGATTTGTATTTGCAAAATACGGATTTGGTGATAAAAAATGATGTGGGAAATCTGATAAAATATGGAAAAACAAACAATGTATTCATTGGGAATACTTGTTTTTCAATAACATTAATAGCAACTGATCACATGGACCTTGCTGGATGTAATAATATCAATTACTTCTGTGGAAAGAGACCATGAAGAAGTTCTGTATCCTCAGTCAAAACAAGGGGAAGGGCTCACATTAAAGTTCAAGTAAAGTAAGCCCATGAGAGCTAAAGCTCCTTGAGTATTGTTACTGTTGTTAAGTGCTGTCAAGTTGGTTCCAATCCATAGTGACCCTGTATAGGGTTTCCAAGGAATGACTGGTGAACTTGAACCACTGACCTTGCAGCTCAAACCGACCTTTGCAGTCAAGCAAAGTGCTATACCAGGACAACCTTGAAAATATTGTACCTGAATTTAGAGACCATCTCAAGAATAGATTTGACATAGTGAAAACTATCAGGGCTGTTATATATGAGGAAAGCAAAAGATTATTAAAAAGACAAAAAGGAAATACCACAATGGATATGAGAAGAAACTCTGAACATTCCTTTTGACCACAGAATACATAAACAGATTGTAATAAACAAGTAAAAGAGCTGAATAAAAGATTTGAAAGAGTAGAACAAGAAGACAAAATAAAGTGTTACAATGAAATGTAAAAAGACCTGGAGTTAGTAAGCCAAAAGGGAAGAACACACTCCACATTTCTCAAGATGAAAGAACGGAAGCAAAATCTCAAGCCTGGAGTTGAATTTGGAAACATTCTGTGAGTAAAAAAGCTGAATGACACAGAAACATCAAAAGATGGAAGGGGTGTGGGGGGGACACAAAGTGTCATACCACCTCAGAAGGAGCGTATGATCAGGAACCAAGGGACTGACCAAAGGAGTCCAAGATACATTGAAGGCATTGACAAACAATAAGGTTCCAGGAATTAATGGAGTCCAGATGTTTTAACAAACAGATGTGATGCTAGAATCTCTCACTAAGCTATATCAAGAAATCTGGAAGACAATTACCTGGCCAACTGACTAGATTAGATCTATACTTGGGCTGACTCTAAAGAAAGGTGAACCAACAGAATGCAGGAATTATTGAATAATACATTAATATCACATGCAAGTAAAATTATGCCAAAAATCACTCCCACTCAGTTGCAACAGTGCATCAACAGGGAACTGTCAGAAACTCAAACCAGAAAATAAAAAGATACGGAACAAGCAGATTCACTGCAAATGTCAGATAGATCTTGACTGAAAGCAGATAATTAACAGAAAGGTTTTTGCCTGTGATTTATTGACAATGTAAATGCAGTCCATTGTGTGGATCTTAACAAATTAAGTACACATTATAAAGAATGGGAATTGCAGAACACTTCATTGTCCTCATCGGAAACTCAGACAGATATCAAGAGGTACTTGTTTGAGCAGAACAAGGAGAAATTACGTGATTTAGAATCAAGAGAGGTATGCACGCTGATATAAAAGCATAAAAGGTATGCATATATATATAAGCATACTTATTCAGGCTATGTGCTGAACAAATAGTTCTAGAAGCTGGACTATATATGAAGAAGAACATAGTATCAGGTTAGGAGCAAGACTCATTAACAACCTGTGATATACAAATAGCACAACCATGCTTGCTGAAAATGAAGAAGACTTGAAATAGTGACACAGATCAGGTGAGAGCCTTCAGTATGGATTATACCTCTGCACAAATAAAATAAAAACCCTCACACACAGACCAATAAACATCATGATAAACAATGAAAATATTGAAGTTGTCAAGGATTTTGTTTTACTTGAATCCACAGTCAACACTCATGGAAGCATCCCTCAAAAACTCAAAGGACATAATTAATTGAGCCAATATGCTGCAAAATACCTTTGTAAAGTGCTAAAAGGCAAAGCTGTCACTTTGAGGACTAAGGTTCCCTGACCCAAGCCATTGCATTTTCAATCCCCTTCTATACATGCCTTAGTCACTGGCAAATTCACAATTAGGAATTAAGGAAGACAAAAGTAGAATTAGTGCATATGAATCATGGTGTTAGCAAAGAATATTGAATACACCATGGGCTGCCAGATGTAACCAGTCTGTCTTGGAAGAAGTACCACCAGAATACTCCTTGGAAACCAGGCTGGCTAAACTTCGTCTCATGCATTGTTGCTTTAGTATCAGGAGGGACTCATCCTTCTACCCGTACCAAGCAAGGGCAGCATGCTTGGTAAAGTAGAGAGTCAGTGAAAAAGAGGAAGACT